ATTTCACAGATAAGCAAAACGGAGGCCAAAGACAACCAACCACTTCCTCAGAGTCCTGAGGCTCTGAGCTGGCAGAGCCTCCCTCCCACCTGCTTCTGAATGAGACAGAAGTCCAAAGTCAGACTGTGAGATCCGTGCGTCTCTTCACCACGAGACTGGACAGAGATTGCTTTGGGGATGCACAAAATACTTCCAAAAACTACTCTTGGAAAGTATTTCTTTCAGAGGCAGGCACTGGAGGTTCACGTGTGTAATCCTAGCTACTCAGGAGCCTGAGATCTGAGGATCGTGGACAGAAAAAGTCTGTGAGACTCTTACCTCCAATGAGACACCAACAAGCTGGAAATGGAGCTGTAGTTTAAGTGACAGAGCGCTAGCCTTGAGCAAAAATGTTCTGAGACAGTGCCCAAGTCTGAGTTCAAGTCCCAGGACCAGCAGGAGGGGCAAGGTTGGCTGAAGAGGGCAGGTGGGAGGCAGGAGAACATTCTAGAAGTTAGAGTATGAGGTGCTGCCCAGGCAGGGGCCTGAACTCCAGAGGTGCTACTGCTGTTGACTCTGTGTGGCCTTTATTTGAGTTGTTCTTTCTTTCTTTTCTTTTCTTTCTTTCTTTCTTTCTTTCTTTCTTTCTTTCTTTCTTTCTTTCTTTCTTTCTTTCTTTCTTTCTTTCTTTCTTTCTTTCTCTAGTACTGGGATTTGCACACAGGGCCTGCTTGTTGGGCTGGTGGGCTATCCCTTGAGCCAGGCCTCCGGTCTTGCTTTTTTTGCCTATCATTTTGGAGATAAGAGTCCAGTGGACTCTTCTGGCCTCACAATGCAATCCTGTAAATCTCCAACTCTTGAGTTAGCTAGGATTACGGGTGTGACCTACTTGTGCTTGATATGGTGAGGTGTTTTATTTGAGATAGGGTCTCACTAGTTCTTGAACTCGAGAGCATGCCTGCCTGAGTTTCCCAAGGGCTGTGATCACAGGCACGAATTACCATGGCTGGCCTATGTGTGAACCTTGAGCAAGTACCTTCACTTTCTGTGCCTCAGTTTCCCCAGGTGAAAAATAAAGTAGTTGTGACATTCTAGGAGGGGCTTGTAGGTGCTGGGTCAAAGTCATCTCCCCAAAAGTAAACTAATTTGGTGGCAAAACCCATACCAGGGCGTCCCGGAAGGCCCCAGGCTGGCCTGCATGCTTGCTTCCTAGAGAGAAGAGGTAAGTTACAGGAAAAGAGCCGCCCAGGGCTATGAGATGACTGCCCTCCCTCAGGCTGAGGGGGTCCCCATGGGGACCCCAACTGTGCTCTTCACCCAGAGGCTTGTCACCTCCTGTACAGGCCCAGACTTAGAGAGCCAGCTAGGATGAAGTCACAGCTGAACGAGGCCGGGCTGGGACTGCCACTTCAGGGTGGGGCCCGGGGTCACAGCCCTGGGAGCAGGCAGCCAAGAAGGGAGGCTGCCTTGTGTGGGGAGCAGGGGGAGACACACACACACACACACACACACACACACACACACACACACACACACACGCCCCAGAGGGAGGGAAGAAAACAAACTCCAGCCATAGCAGCCACGTTGCAGGCGCCTTCCGGAGACTCTCAGAGAGACCCTGTCCGGTCTCCTCCTAAGAGAGGCCCAGCACAGGTGGAGCCCAGACATGGACATGAGAGGGAGGCTGGGCTTGGGGAGCCGAGGGGCCCAGAGCACTTGGGAACCATGGACTAAGTCAGGTACTGTGAGAGGGAAACTGAGGCACCGGGGGGGGGGGGGGGGAGAGGGGGGGGGGGGGGGGCGGGGGGAGTGCGCATTGGGGCTGGGTTAATGACTCCATTCTCAGGGTCAGCTAGACCCTGCTCCTACTTCCTGTTTCCTGTGGGGTGGAGCTGAGGTGGGGGTGGATGATAGTAGTAAGGTCAGCTTCCGGGAGCCGGAGGGCAGTGTGGGCCTGCGAATCCATGAGGAAGGGTGTGGGGGAGAGGGCATGGGAGGTGGGGGGAGGTACAATGGGCACTGGGCACATCAGAGCCCTTAGAGATTTGGACTGGACCCCTCAAATAGATTTGAGATGTCAGTTAAGGTAGCCAGGCCAAGTCCAGCGGGTGTCAGACATCTGGGGAGCATGTCCACGGGACGAGGGAGGGACCCGGAGTTCATGAGCTGAGCCATCCTTGTGTGGGACCTGGGGTGTCTTGGAATCCAGGGTTGCACAGCCATCCCTCTCCTGGCCCCCTAGGAGGGTACAGACCCAGAAAGGTGTTAAAAACAGTCCACCCCTGAAGGGCCCCCCACAGCCCCCCCGGGGGAGGAAGAGGTTCAGCGCATGGGGGTGCAGGGAGATGGGGGGAGAGGCGCCAGGGCTTTACAGCCTCCTTCCTGCCAGCAAGTGCCGCCTGGGATGGGCATTTTATACCCCACAGCACCTGCCAGGCGTCCTCGGGAGCAGGGCACGGGGCAGGGTGTGTGTGTTCAGGGCGGGCACAAGGGCGGGTCCTGGTGCCAGGAGGGAGGAGCAGGGTAGGTCTGCAGTGTGCCCAAGGGGCAGGGGGCTGGCCATGGTGCTGGGCCCAGCGGTGTCACGGCCAGCAAAGCTGTGAGCACTCCCTAGTCCTGGAAAACTGATTGTCCACTTGGGCTTGGAGTCAAGGTCAGGTGGGAAGGTCGCTCAAGGGACTGAGATACCTCCAGGTGTAGGGATATAGGGGTGCCTGCAAGCTGGCAGGGCCGTCCTGGCTATGTGTGTTTGCCTTCCTTCCTGCCCCACCCCCCCATCCTCATCAACTGTGGGACTTGAACTCAGGACCTGGTGCTTTCCCTGAGCTTTTTCACTCACAGCTAGTGTTCTACCACTTTGAGCCACAGTGACACTTCTGGTTTTCTAGTGGTTGCTTGGCGATAAGAGTCTCACAGCCTTTCCTGCCTGGACAACTTTGAACTATGATCCTCATAACTCAGCCTCCTGAGTAGCTAGGATTACAAGTGTGAACCATTGGCACCTGGCTCTCTTTTCTTTTTCCTTTCCTTTCTTGCAAAATTTAGGATACACACACACGCATGAATGCACACACACACAAATTAATACTGAGGATTGAATCCAGGGCCTCAAGTATGCTAGGCAACAATTCTACCACTGAGCCATGCCCTCAGCCTCTTTTTTTTTTTAATGCCAGAACTAGGGCTTCAACTCAGGACTTTGTGCTCTCATTTAGCTTATTTGCTTTGTTTTTTTTTTTTTTTTTTTGTCGGTCGTGGGGCCTGAGCTCTGGGCCTGGGCACTATCCCTCAGCTCTTCAGCTCAAGGCTAGCGCTCTACCACTTGAGCCACAGCGCCACTTCCAGCTTTTTTCTACTTATGTGGTGCTGAGGAATCGAACCCAGGCCTCATGCATGCAAGGCAAGCGCTCTACCACTGAGCCACCTTCCCAGCCCTCATTAGGCTTATTTAGCTCAAGGCTGGTGCTTGAGCCATACTTCACTTCTAGCTTTTTGGTGGTTCATTGGAGATTAGAATCTCACAGAGTTTTCTGCCTGGGTTAGCTTTGAACTGTGAACTTTAGCTATCAGCCTCCTGAATAGTTAGGATTACAGGTGTGAGCCACAGGCTCTGGGCTCCTGATTTTTGTTTTGTTTTAGAGATAAGGTCTTGCTAAACTATTTTGTCCTCTAGATCTTTCTGACTTCACCTCTTGAGTATCTGAGATTACAGACCTGCGCCATCACTATTGTCTTTCTATCTCTCTCTTTCTCTTTTGTGTGTATGTATAGGAATGTATCTCTTTGCTGTAGAAAACAGAAGCATTGTAATGAAACACTCTTGCTCACATAGGTAAAATAGGGTGCGCTCAGGACAGCAAGATGGTTGTAGGGTCTCCAGTGAGCCTGGAAGTGTGCCGCCAGCCTCCAGCCTCCTGCCCCAGGGCCTGCCCTGCCCTCCACTGCGTCCCTCAGCAGTCCCTCCATGCACGTAGGCCTGGTCGCCACCATTCCTGACTGTCCCTCCTCATACCTTTACCAGCCCACCTGGCCGTGGCTCCCCCACGACCCTCTCAAAGAGAGGACCCTCGCAAAGAGACTCTAGAAGCATCTTTTGGAAGCCACCCTTGTTCTCCAGGGCTCCAAAAGATTTCCCAGCAAGGTCCAGGAAGGCTCCCAGATATGTCTTAGTGCCCCCAGTCATCCATCCTGCTGGACTCTGAGGAGGAGGAAGCTGGGGTCTAATTTGGGGTCCCTTTCAGAATAGAAATATTGAATCCTCTTTCCAGAACTCCCTCCAAAAACCATCTCAGGTTTCTCTCACCCCAGCGTCTCAGCCCTGCCCTCGCCTTGTGATATAGGGATGGTGGTCAACAGAGGGACGGGCCGATGGTGGCCAGGGGTCCTGACGTTCTTGGACTCCCAGAAAATCTGCTCCCTTTGGATTTCCCTCTTTGCCCAGTGGCAATGTGAACGCTTTGAGCACCCAGGCCCTGTTACTTTATTACACTGTGTAAAGTCCAAGCCAGGCCTCAGCCCCTCTTCCTGGAAGCTGCCTCTCTACCAAGCCCTGGCTTGTCTCCTCCTACCACCCCCCCCCCCCAGGCCCCCTGATTAGGGGGCCACAGTTAGCAGCCTCCATCTTCTTCCCAGTCTGTCTCCACCTCCCCAAATCCAGGTGAGTCACAAGGACATCTGGGGTTCCCAGATGGGGGACCCCCCACTCTTAGAATGGGCTTGAGTACTTCTCTCTCTCTCTCTCTCTCTTAAGCCCCTTCCAACAATGTCCAGGGCAAGTCGCTTAGAGAAACCACAGGACATTTTTGTTGTTGTTGTTTGTTTTTTGGGCGGTGGAGGTGATAGACTTCATTATAATTTTATCAATCACATTCTTAAGAGGAAAAAGTTGGCCCTCCCCTCCCCCCCCACCTCCCCCCCCCCACTCTCACTTTCTTCCCATTCATAATTTCCTATGATGCACCTCAAACAACTTCCTGGACTGGGGATCCCGGCTAAATATAGCTGTTTCTGTCTTACAACACAGGCTCGCGTATATAAATCAGGCAAATTTCCCATCCGAGCATGAACCTCTGAGCACAGCCGGCACCCAAGGTCTCGTCCAAGGCCCTCTGGAGTCCAGCCCATAATGAAGGTCCTGGCGGCAGGTAAATCCACCCCGCTGCGAGCATGGGGGACAAACAACTTGGGGTGCTGAGTGAGCAGCCTCAGGATGGGCACCCCCCCTCCACTCCCTGGCTGCGGACACCCGGCCCCCCCCCCCGCTGGTACCCTGTGCACCTCCCGATCTGCCCCCAAGCACTGGGTGACCGCATTTAGTCCCAGACACCTCGTGCCCAGCCCGCCCTGGACCTGCAGGTTGGCGGCAGTGAGGGAAGGGGGACCCTCCACACCCCGTCGCTGGCCGACTCCTTCCTTCCTTCTCCTCCTCCTCCTCCTCCTTGATCTGCCACGCTTGCTCTCCACGCTGCACCAGAGCGTGGAGAGTAACTCTCCCAGAGTTACCCTCCCTCCTTCTCTCTCTCTCTCTCTTTTTGCTTCTTTCTTTTTTCTTTCCGCTTTCTCTTTTCCACCGAGTCCGAGTCCCGGGCTGCTCCTTGGGAGGAGCGCAGGGCGGCCTGAGCAACTTGTAAACTCCGGCCCGGGACAGGAGCAGGTGCTGCTGCTTAATGCCTGCTACTAACTTGGAAAAAATCCTGTGCTCGGAGACGCTAGGTGAGAGGAGGATGCGGGTCCCCTCCCTCTCCCCCCAGCCATCCCGGGGTGCATGTGTGTGTGTGTGTGTGTGTGTGAGGGGGCTCCACACTGCCTGAGAAGTGAACTTGAACGCCCCACTGTCCTTTCAGTCCCAGCCTGGAGGGATGGGGGTGGGGGGTGGGCAGGAGGTCCCCAGCTTCACTGGTGGGCTCACTTCAGCCCCTTGTCACCCCTTCTCACCTTCTGGAAGGGGGTGATGGGGGGGCGTTGCTTGAGAATGAAAGGAGGGGCAGGTTCCTCAGGGGAGGGGCATCGGGGACAAGCCTTGACAGCTCCCCGCTCCCCACACCTTCCAATTTCTTTTCCTTCCTGTCCCTCTCCAACTGGATCACCAGAGCTGGCAGGGGAGGGAGGGCGGAGAGCAGGGGAGAGGCGGTCAGGGGATGATCCTCACCCTAACCCAAGACCACAGGGAGCAGACTTGAGGTCTATGATTGTTTTGGGGGTTGGATTGTGGAGACCTGCAGAATCTCAATGGAGGTCCGGATCCATTTTTTTTTGGGGGGGTGGGAGAACAGAGGTGAGGGAGTAGCGGAATTAGGTAGCAAGAGGCCCAAAGGGGGCAGATTCAAATGACAAGCTTGGAGAAGGAAGGTGACAGAAACTCTCAGCCGGCCGCCCTGAGGTGCAGGGAGTTGCAGGGTGGGTAGCTGGGGGTGGGGGTGGGGTGGAGAATGGACAAACAGTCCAATCTGGACCAATTTCGGAGGCAGGAAGGCCCTGGCAGGGGGCGGGGGGGGCTCATGTCCCCTGGCATCTGCTGGACGTGCGGAGGGTTGAGGTCCAGCCAAAGTCTAGCAATTGTGGCTTTGGAGTTGTCTCTGGGCTGGACTCTTGTGTCCTGGAGGCTTCCAGCAGGTGCTAATGGCTCCAGGCTTGTACAATCCAGCACAGAGCAGGCAGAGACAGGAAGGCAGCACTGAAGAGCTGGAGACTGGGAGACAGAGGCGGCCATGCAGGAGTAGGGATGAGGAGGGGGGAGGAAGAGGAGGAGGGGGGAGAGACAGGCGACCCTTCCCCTCAGTCCCTTCCTTGCCCACCCACCCCAGGCCACCCTCCCACCTTGCTGCTCACGTTCTTTCTTCTCGCGTGTTCCCAGGAGTCATGCCCCTCCTCTTCGTGCTGCACTGGAAAGACGGGGCGGCCAGCCCCCTGCCCATCACACCTGTCAATGCCACCTGTGCCACCCGCCACCCGTGTTACAACAACGTCATGAGCCAGATCAGGAATCAACTAGCCCAGCTCAATGGCAGTGCCAGCCCGCTCTTCATCCTCTACGTAAGTCACCTGCCGGGCCTGGAGGGAGGGGCTGGCAAAGAGAGGCGGCGGTGCTGATTGGTGGGAGACCCCTTTTAGAACTGGAAGAACACCCTAGAAGGGGCTTGGGGAAACCACACCCAGATTCCCACAGCTTCCTCCCCATACCTGTCCCATACCTGGCCCAGACTATAGACTGCAGAATTAGGAGTCTTTTCCTAAGGTAGCCTGGATGACAGGTGGGGGCTGGCAGGCTCTCCCAAGGAGCCAATAGGGAGGGGCCATGGCTCAGATCATCCAGGAACTGTGGCCCGTGGCTCACACCTGTCATCCTAGCTACTCAGGAGGTTGAGATCTGAGGATGGTGGTTCAGAGCCAACCCTGGGTAGGAACATCTGTGACTCTTTGTCTCCAGTGAACCACCAGAAAACTGGAAGAGGCACTGTGGTTTAAAATGATAGAGCTCTAGCCTGGAGAGAAAGAGTTCAGGGACAGGGTCCAGGTCCGGAGTTCAAGCCCCAGGACCGACCAAAAAGGAAAAAAAAAAGAAAAGAAAGTGCAAGTGTGTGTGGTGGGTCCCCTCGGAGGTGACACCTGGCAGGCCACATTTCTCTTCTGTGCCCGTAGGGCGGTGGTGATGACAACCACTCATCTTGGCCTTGTCCTTGATAGTTAGCAAGTGTGATGTGCTCCTGATCGCACTCTGCTGGCTTCTGCTGTCAGCAAGGAGCTCAGTCTGCTTGCCTTTGGTGGGGAAACTGAGGCCTAAGGGTTAGGGGTGACGGGCGAGCACGTCAGTTCCTGACCCTTGTGTCACTTTGGCATCTGTCACTTTTCTCCTTAGTACACGGCTCAGGGAGAGCCATTCCCCAACAACCTGGACAAGCTGTGCGCCCCCAACATGACAGACTTCCCGCCTTTCCACGCCAACGGCACGGAGAAGGCCAAGCTGGTAGAACTGTACCGCATCGTCGCTTACATGGGCGCCTCCCTGGGCAACGTCACCCGAGACCAGAAGACCCTGAACCCCACCGCCTTGAGCCTCCACAACAAGCTGAACGCTACCGTCGACTCCCTACGCGGGCTCCTCAGCAACGTGCACTGCCGCCTGTGTACCAAGTACCACGTGGGCCACGTGGACGTGGCCTACGCCCCGGACACCTCCGGCAAAGATGTCTTCCAGAAGAAGAAGCTGGGCTGTCAGCTCCTGGGGACGTACAAGCAGGTCATCAACATAGTGGCCCAGGCCTTCTAGCCATGGACCCAGACATTTCAGGGAGGAATGGGGTCCAGATGTGGGGTGAGGTCTGGGGCATGGCAGGGGGGGGCTGCTGGCAGACCCCCCCCCACAAGGGCTCCCCAGCCAAGCAACTCTAGTCGGGTGTGCTGTGATGGATGAAACTTCTATAGGCCGGACCTATGTGCAGACCCCCCCCTTGAAGGTGGGACAGCTTCTTTGGGGAGCTGACCACCCGGGGGTGGGGTTAGGGTGAGATTTCCACCCCCCCACTGGTCCCTTTAATTCCTCGCTTACCTTGTGCAGTGAGCAAGCCGTACAAAGTGTCTCCATGAACCCCTGGCCACAGGGAGAGACAGCAAGGGACAGGGGAGGTGCCCAGTGTCCCTTGTGGAGTGGCATCCATTTGTGCCTTTGCTGTCCCGAAGGAAGACTTTGAAAGGCTTGGAGGAGACTCCAGGGGGCTCCAAGGGGCTGGGCTGCAGAAGGAGTTCTTGTCCTTTTAGAAGTTTTGTGGGTGGAAGATAGAGAAGGGATTTGAGTGGGTAAAGGAGTAGGAGAGTGTCTTCTCTTGAGCATGATCAGAGAGAGTTCAGGCCTAGGATTGGAGGGTTCTAGAAAGTCATATGTTCAGGCTCTAGGGGAGGCAGAGGCCACCTTCGGGTCTGGAAAAAACGGAAGATGCTAGAAGGAGGACAGGGCCTGAAAAAGCCTTGTTCGTCTTCCCTGCAGTCTTTCGGTATATCCTGGGTGGCATGCGTGCAGGTGGGGAGAGCCAGGTGGCGCAGGCAGGTGAGGGGGTTCAGAGAGGACCGGAGTCCTTCTGGAGATGGTCTAGAAAGGAAAGCCAGGCGACTGAGAGCCGCAGCTCACATCCATCCGAGGCCTGAAGACTCCCAGTGAGGCCAAGTCAAGGTCCTTGAGAACTTGAGGTCAGGGTCTCAGGAACGTCTGAGGCCCAGAGTTCAGTGTGTCTATTTATTATAATGTTCTATTTATGTTAACTTATTGGTGCTTTCAGTGGTAGAGTTAATCCCCCTTTCTCTGCTCCCCAGTGAGCAGATTTAAATAACATGTGAGGCCCTCACATTGAGATGAGGGCCGGGACTCATGTACCCTATCCTAGGGATCACAGAGACTGGCTGGAATCTGAGTGTATTGCTCCGCTCTCCCTCCCTCCACTAGACTTGCTTTGGGGGTGGGGTGGGGGTGGGGTGTCGGGATAAGTGGCAGTGGCCTCCTGGGATTAGTTTATTGACACGTGGCCAAGCCAAGGCGCCTTCACACTGTGCTCTCTGGCGCCCCCTGGAGGCGTGCTGCAGATGCGTACCGTTCACTGTTAGAACCCAGCAGTCCTTGGGGTGAGGTTGATTTCCTTCCTGATCCTCTCTAACCAGCAGCTGAGGGTCTCTGGGATGGCCTTCACCCAGCACCCAACATGCTCCTATCCAGTGGTGGCCTGAACACCCACACATGCAGGAAGTTAAGGCAGCGGGGGCAAACTCAACAGCTCCAGATTGGGGCAGGGCCCTGAGATGCCTGGGAAACAGACTGGGGAGTGGTGGGTCCCTGTTTTTCCTCTCACCCCCACCCATGTCTGGGCTCCCAGGCGGAGAACCCCATCTGATCTCTCTTCCTTTGTGTCCGGGCCAGGCGAGTGGAGCCACGCCCTCCAGTCTGGAAGCAGAGGAGGGAGAGAGGGAGGGAGGGAGGGAGGGAATGAAGCCTGGGCAGCTGTGGACTGCAGTGTTCTGGCTGTTTCTCAAACCTGAACAAGGGGTGGGGTGGTCCTGAACAGTTCAGCCAGCAGGATTCTGGTTCTGAGAATGTCTGCTTTCCAATGATTTTTTTTTTTTTTGGTTTGTTTTTGGGTACTTTTCTCTAAGCACTTTACCTGGACAGGCAGCAGGCAGGTCCTGAGGCCGGGGAGGGGGGGTGGGGGGGAGAGAGAGGGAGGGCTGGGGGCTGTGTGCACATGTCCCTGCAGGGACAGACACCAAAAGCAGTGATGTCTTTTTCAGGGCTAAATGTGGGTCACGCCCTTGCCCGAGATTGCAGCTTCTCCTCCTCTATCTTCCTCCAGCGCAGTTCTCCTGAGTGAACTTTGAAAGAAAGAAAAGAAAAAAAAAAAAGACAATTTGTGTGAAGGCCAGAAGAGATAGAATTCTGTAGCCCCGGGACCAGTTGGGGGACTTGAGAGATCTCTGGGTCCCCCCTGCAGCCACACCACAGGCTCAGGACCCCACAGATTCTTGTTGTTGCTCTTGTGTTTTTCCCTTTTCCTGCCTGACAAGCCTTGGGCTCAGCCATTGCTTGTCTGCTCAGAGTAGGACTTGATTCTCACAGCTCTTTCTGGATCTTTCCATCAGCTATGTGGAGATGGGGCTGGGAGACAGGCAAGGATGCCCTCGGGGAGCTCAGGCCACCCATTTACAGATGACAGACAAGGACAGTCCTGTGGCAGTTAATCAGGATTGGGGTCCTTATTTATTATTTAATTTTTTTTTGTAATGAACAAAGCACTGCGACTTTCCTTGTCTCCCCTCTTGCTTGGTCCCTAACCCTGACCAAAGCCAGCCAGCCCTACCTTGCTGGCCCCACAGAGTATGAGGTTAACAGACTCTAGCATGGAAACCATTTATTTCCCTTCAGACAGTATGGATGTTAGAATAGATCCTCAGTTTCCCACCTGGCCCCAGACCTCTTTCTGCACTGCTAGTTCAGTGGGGTCCCCCTCCCTTCCCCCCCTAGAGGCCTTAAGGTGTTTCCCCTCCTCCCTTTCTTCTAGAAGGGGGTCTGGTTTGGGGGTGACAAATTCCTCTTTGATGAATGTACCCTATGGGGATGTTTCATACTGACAAAATTATTTTTTATTTATTCAATGTCATATTTAAAATATTTATTTTTTTATACTGAAGGAAGACTTTTTTAAAAAGAAAAAAAAAGAAATGAATAAAGAATCTGCTCTTGGCAAGTTCTCTGGAGTGTGTTGATGTGAGGGGACGGACTTGGGGTGGTGGTGGAGCCAGCCTGTACTTTCCCTCCCCCCCAACCCCCGCCCCGCACCCCTTGCTGCTCATCTGGGAGGGGAAGGAGGGCAGAAAGGAGGAGAGGGGTGGGCAGAGGTGGGCTGGGGCAGAGGCTGGTGGGTGGGATTTTGGCCCAGACAGAAGAAGGTAGATGGTGTATAGAAGATGGGGTACCACAAAGACAGGGGTGGGTTGTTCCTGGGAGGGCTGGCGTGTTATTTGATCACAGTAACCCCATTGACTTACACCCACTTAACCAGGGCAGGGTGGGGGGAGGAAGTTGAGGTTCTGAGAGACAAAACCACACACTCAGGGTCATTGGAAGTGTTTGGGGGCCACCCCTTCAGCTCCAAACTTCCCGTTCTTCCCCCTTCCACCACACTTCAGGGGTTGGGGAGATGCCAGCCACGCAGGGCCCTATCACCCAGGAATGGTCCTTGACCATCCTGGCATCAGGGACCCCTCGTGGAACACAGGCCTTCAGAGTAGCGCAACAGGCGCAAAGGATGCTGGACCAGAGCCAGGGCGGGCCACAGCCCCTCCAGCCTCTCAGGTGGACTTTTCTGGACCCCACCAGCTCCCACATGGCGCCGCCGCCCCACGCGGTTCCACACCGGGAGACCCCCTCGACAGCCCCTTTGGAGCTTTCTGAGAGTCCTTTTTTAGGGAACAAATGAGGTTTGAACTGGACAGCTTAAGACCAGGGGTCTCTGAGTGGTCTCAAATACCTCTCAGGCTATGTTCTGGGGTTCAGGGCTGGGGCTCCCCACCCCAGGAATAACTGATTTTTGGAACAAAGATCTGTGAGTTACCTACTTATGCCTGAGGCTGTGTGTGTGTGTGTGTGTGTGTGTGTGTGTGTGCACACACACACTCCCACTCAGGACCTGGGCACTGTCCCCTAACTTTTTCACTCAAGACTGGTATTCTACCACTTGAGCCACAGCTTCATGTCTGGCTTTTTGGTGGTTGAGAGAAGAGTCTCAAGGCCTTTCTTGCCCAGGCTATCTTTGAATTGGGATCCTCCGATCTCAGCCTCCTGAAGAGCGAGGCTGACAGTTGTGAGCTACTGCACCTGATCATCCTTATCTACCCTTAACCTTTACTTGTCCCTCCGCAATGGCCCGCTGGAAGCTTTTCAAGAGAAACCTAGAAGCTGTGCGTTGGTGGCTCACGCCTGTAATCCTAACTACTCAAGAGGCTGAGATCTGAGGATCGCGGTTCAAAGCCATCTGGGGTGGGAAAGTCTACGAGACTCTTATCCCCAATTAAGCACCAGAAAACTGGAAATGGTGCTGTGGCTCAAGTGGTAGAGCACTCACCTTGAGCTGAAGAGCTCAGGGACAGCGCCCAGGCCAGAGTTCAAGCCCCACAATGGACCAAAAAAAAAAAAAAAAAGAACCCGAGGCACAAGGCTGGGTCATAGGCCAGAAAATGGCAGAGACTGCTCTACCACTCAAGCCACAGCACACTTGCAGTTTTCTGGTGGTTAACTGAAGATAAGAGTCTCACGGACATTCTTGCCTGGGGTTGGCTTTGATCCTCAGATCTCAGCCTCCTGAGTAGCTAAGATTACAGGCGTGAGCCACCGGCGCCCGGTTGTACTTTACTTTGTCTGACATTGTAGAGGCCATCGGCAATGAAGGCCACCCTGTCTGCTTCACAGAGGAGGGACCAAGAAGCAGAGGATAAAGACGTCACGTGACACCTGTGCTTTGGGGAACCCTGCCTGTCCCCTACATTGGGTGATGACAGCCCAGGGTGTCTGATGTCTCTGGCACCTGGTGACCTTTTTACAGGGAGGGTGGGGGCTGTGCAGAGTGAATGCTGACAGTCAGTGCTGAGTTCAAGGCCAGGGCCAGGCTGCTGGGGATGGGCAGGCAGGAGTCCCCCCCTCCCCCCAGAGATGGCTCCCCCGAGGACCCACGTCACAGGGCGGATCCAGGAGCCCACCAGCCAGCTCCCGTTCTGGGTCTCTGAGTCTGCCTTG